CCCTGGACTTGTGCCCTGGACAAAAAATAAATAAATGAGATGAAATTACCTACAGGTGAGAGAGCCTGGTGCTGAGCCAGCCCCCGCAGCCCTCCCCCTGGCCTCTGCTCTGGGCGACTGCAGCACCGCAGCCCGTCGTTAACCAGCCGCCAGGGAGGCCAGGGCTCGTGCAAACACAGAGCTCGGATATTTCTCAGAAATCAGGGCCAAACACCATTAAAAGCTGAAACAGGAGCAATTCCACTTCTGGGTACATGCCCAAAAGAAGTGAAAGCAGGGACTCAGGCTGTACACGCACGTTCACAGCAGCATTATTCATAAGAGCCTAAAGGAGGAAGCAACCCGAACATTTATCAATGGATGAACAGACAAAATGTAATCTGTCCATATGATGGAATATTTTGCAGCCAAAAAGGAAGGAGATTCTGACACCTCCAACAACATGGACCAACCTAGAGGACATCATGCTGAGTGAAAATCAACCAGTCACAAAAGAACAAATACTGTTTGACTCCACTTGTATATGAGGTCTTTAGGGGCGTCAAATTCAAAATGGAAGGGTGGCTGTTGGGGCTGGGGGAGAGGAGAATGGGGTGTCAGTGTCTAATGAGCACAGTTTCAGTTCTGAAAGACAAAGGAATTCAGGGGATGGATGGTGACAATGGCGGTACAGCAATGTGAATGTAACCTAATGTTACGGAACTGCAGGCTTAAAGGGCGAGACAGAGACTTTTATGGTATGCACTTATTACTGTAAGTTTTAAAAATCTGGAGAAGGAAAGGAAGGAAGGAAAAAATGGAGAGGAAGGAAAGGGCGGGGGGAGAAAGGAAAGAAAAGAAGTTAATAGAATTCCTAGAGCTGATGAGTTTGAAAGGGAGGGTGAACCTGGTGCCTCATGGTGTGCCCGTGTCCACGGATCAGCCCTGGACCAGTGCCCCAGCGGGTCCACATCACTGGGCTTTGCAGACGAGCCCGTCCTACGGGGAGGTCTATGGGTCCAGAGGGTAACTCACTTTCAAGACTCCACACACCACTAAAGCAGCCTCGGCCTCGGGGCATGGCCTGTCTGCAGTGGGGGTGGGGGACAGACAGACGGAGTTTCCTGCAAATCAATACATGTCCCCAAAGCAAGCACTGGCAAGTCAACTGGACAGAGGTCGAGGTACCGGAGTCTTGACTTCACAGTGGGCAGGAACGCTGTGGAGCTCGCCATCCCCATCAGCCCAAGGTGAGGCTTAGAAGGGTGAGGCTTACGATCATCTATTTCCCTGTGGCTTGTTACAGACGGGCCTGGCCTGACGGCCACAGCCTTGCCAGTGACTGCCTGTGCGACCTGGGCCATGTCTCCGGCCTCCCTGTTCTTGGGCCGCCTCCAGCATCTCTCAGCCACTGTGGCACAGCCAGGGCCTGGCCCTTTCTGCTTCCCATGAGCTATATGTGCACTTGTCACCAGGCATAAGACGCCTGGGGCGGCTAAAGGCCCGGGGGTGGTTAAGCCCCTGCCTCGTGGCTGCTCACGCAGAAAGAGCCAGCTCAAAGTGGTTCTGATGCTGCCAGCTCTTTGGACCTCTCCAAAGTCCTCCTTGACCTCGGTTCCACCCAGGGAGGCTCTTTTCTCTCCCTCAGCCAAGATCTTCAACAATGCTGTTTCTACTCTTTCACTTCCTGATCTCATCCCAGTTTGTCCCAACACAGCTTCCGCCCCCAGCAATCCCTAAAGTGAGTGAAAGTGAAGTCGCTCAGTCCTGTCTGACTCTTTGCAACCCCCATGGACTATAGCCTATGAAGCTCCTCCATCCATGGGTTTTTCCAGGCAAGAGTACTGGAGTGGGTTGCCGTTTTCTTCTCCAGGGGATCCCCACCCAGGGATGGAACCCAGGTCTCCTGCATTGCAAGCAGACGCTTTTACCCTTTTACCATCTGAGGCACCAGGGAACCAATCCCTAAAGCTACTCCTTTGGGGCCGGCAGCAGTATCAGGCATTGTTAGCCACTCCCTTCCCACACCTCTCACCTCGCTCCTAAGGACAACCCACACCGGGTCTGTCTGCCTCCCGCCCAGCCCTGACCCCGGAACTCCACTGTGCCTCTGCCGGCATCTTCTCTCTCCCGGCTGTGCTCTGCTCGACCCGGCCAAGGCCAGCCACACCAACAGCTGCAAGCCCCAGCCTCACGCCCAGCAGCCTTAGTCCCTTCATCCACCAGGCTCGCCATCCTGAGCTCCACCAGCGAACTCAAAGCTAGCTGGTCCAAACTGGAACCCTCACTGTGTCCCCAAACACTCTTCTCCTTTTCCCATCCAGTAGCCCTGCCAACCACCCAGGCAACCAGAGCATAGCTCAGGGGTACCCTGGGTCTCTCTTGCCTCTGCCTTTCCAGGCCAGACACCCAGTCCTGTGGGTCTCTCCTCCCAGCACACCCTCCTCCCCACAGGATCACCTCCTCCACCCCCATGCCCGCCCCTTAGTCCAGATGCTTTCACCTCACATGCTCCATTCCCAGTGCTCCTTCTTGCCTTTCCAACTCCAGTCCCCCCAGGTGCAGCTGTGGGGCTGTCCTTCCAGACCTTAGTCTATGCACGTTTCTGTCTCCCCTTGGGAGGCCTCACTCGCCCTCCCCATCCTGACTCTGGGCACCCACCTCATTAAGGCTGCTCCCGTCCTGGCTGCAGCCACACCAGTCCACCTGTCCTCCCCAAGATGTGGCTCCTGTGGCAGCCCCTATGTGACCTGCCACTGCTCCCCCAATCAGGCAAGCACCCTCACTTGGCTGAAGGGTCAGCTCTTTCATGATGCCCCACACTTTGGGGTGATCACTCCCCAGGCCTCCACCTGGCCCCCAGTGCTCCCTGCAGAAATGCCTACTAAAGCACAGATGCTTCGCCCGTCTGTGACACCACTGCCTTCAGTGGAAAGGACCGGATCTTTTAGGATTTGTAACTGGCACCTACCACAGTGCCAGATCTTCAAAATTGCTTGTTAGGAGAGTGGATGGATGGTGGAGTGGGGATGCACACAAACATCCTTCTGTGTCTAAAGTTTGAGGTGGGCAGCCCCTCCCCACCTGCCCACCATGTGACCTTTCCCTCCTCTGCCCATTCATCAAATCAGAGGAGACACAGCTCCTTCCTTGGTTCCCTCAACTAGGCAACCTCTATTCCTCTCATAGGACCAGCTCTGTTTTACACTAAAGTCGGATATTGATTCTTTGTACTAGACAGTTGGCTCCTTAGAGCAGGACTGACTGACTCAGCGTTGAGTCCTCTGAGAGGGGCCTTCACCCACAGAAAGGGTCTTGGGAGGCCTCTAGTGGGGAGCACGGGAGACTCCCATAACCAGAGGACTCCTGTCTCCCGGAAGACTCTCATCACTGGGCAGATTCCCATCACCAGGCGGACTCCCACTACCAGAGGACTCTCACACCAGGCAGACCCCCACTACCAGAGGACTCCAGTCCTGGGCGGACTCCCATCCCTGGGCAGACTCTCACACCGGGCAGACTCCCATAACCAGAGGGCTCCCATCACCCGGAAGACTCTCATCACTGGGCAGATTCCCATCACCGGGCGGACTCCCACTACCAGAGGTCTCTCACACCAGGCAGACCCCCGCTACCAGAGGACTCCGGTCCCAGGGCGGACTCTCATTGCCGGGCGGCCTCCCATCCCCGGGCGGATTCTCGTCACCTGGCAGACTCTCATCACCAGGCGGCCTCCCATCCCCGGGCGGACTCCCATCCCCGGATGGACTCCCATCCCCGGGTGGACTCTCATCACCAGGCAGCCTCCCATCCCCGGGCGGACTCCCATCCCCGGATGGACTCCCATCCCCGGGTGGACTCTCATCACCAGGCAGCCTCCCATCCCCGGGCGGACTCTCCCACACCCGGCGGACTCCCACACCGGGCGGCCTCCCACACCAGGGGGACTCCCATCCCCGGGCGGACTCTCATGGCCCGGCGGCCTCCCACACCAGGCGGACTCCCATCCCCAGGTGGACTCCCGTCACCGAGCGGCCTCCCATTCCCGGATGGACTCCCACACCGGGCGGCCTCCCATCCCCGGGCGGACTCTCATGGCCCGGCGGCCTCCCACACCGGGCGGACTCCCATCCCCGGGCGGACTCTCATGGCCCGGCGGCCTCCCATTCCCGGATGGACTCCCACACCGGGCGGCCTCCCATCCCCGGGCGGACTCTCATGGCCCGGCGGCCTCCCATTCCCGGATGGACTCCCACACCGGGCGGCCTCCCATCCCCGGGCGGACTCTCATGGCCCGGCGGCCTCCCACACCGGGCGGACTCCCATCCCCGGGCGGACTCTCATGGCCCGGCGGCCTCCCATTCCCGGATGGACTCCCACACCGGGCGGCCTCCCATCCCCGGGCGGACTCTCATGGCCCGGCGGCCTCCCATTCCCGGATGGACTCCCACACCGGGCGGCCTCCCATCCCCGGGCGGACTCTCATGGCCCGGCGGCCTCCCATTCCCGGATGGACTCCCACACCGGGCGGACTCCCATCCCCGGGCGGACTCTCATGGCCCGGCGGCCTCCCATTCCCGGATGGACTCCCACACCGGGCGGCCTCCCATCCCCGGGCGGACTCCCATCCCCGGATGGACTCCCATCCCCGGGTGGACTCTCATCACCAGGCAGCCTCCCATCCCCGGGCGGACTCTCCCACACCCGGCAGACTCCCACACCGGGCGGCCTCCCACACCAGGGGGACTCCCATCCCCGGGCGGACTCTCATGGCCCGGCGGCCTCCCACACCGGGCGGCCTCCCATCCCCGGGCGGACTCCCCCACACCCGGCGGCTGCCGGCACTGACCCCTCACCAGCCCGGCTCAGCACTCGGGCCTCTGCCTAGGGCGCCCCCCAGGCCCCCGCGCCGTGTGCCCCACCTGCCCAGGGGTGGCAAGTCTGCGTGTGAGCCCACCCCCGAGCCAGGAGCAGACGCCCGCGCCGCGCGCAGAGCCCTCTCCAGGGACAAGCAGACTCACCATGTTCATGACGGTAAGGATAAACCTCTGGGCGGCCTCGGCCCCGTGGTACTGCACCATGTCGGCGTCGGCCACCACTAGGGTCTCCACCGTGTGTTCGCTGGTAAGCCGGATGGCATTCCTCCGCCGCCGCCCGTCCCGCGTCGGCCGGCCCCTCCTCGGCTTCTTTTCTAGAAAACAACGGAGACGTTCGTGCAGCGCTTTGTGTGTTGGCTTCTTATCCACACGGTGAACAGGGCTCTCGCCACACCTCCCCAAGAGAACGACCAGTCTTCCCGGCCAGCGGCTGGGCCTGGCGCCCCCTGCCCTCCCCTGTCTGCCGCAGCCAAGCCTGCGCGTCTGGGGCCAGATGTCACGACGGACATGCCCGTCCACCATGGCAGCGAGGGGCAGAAAGGCTGAAGACCACAGAACAGAAAATCTGACCCTGTGGAGAATGAGGAGGACAGTCTGTGGAGGATAGGAAGCCTGGGTCGGGCAGGGAGGGTTGATGACCCAGACCCACAAGGCTTTCTGAAAGCGCCAGGACCCATTGCTGGTAACTGGGGCCAGCGAGCGAAGACCTGGAAGTGGGTGCCCCAGAGACGGAGCAGATAGTCAGGAATTAGGAGCCATTAGCAGGCAAAAAAGCAATATTTCAAAAAAAAAAAAAAAAAACAACAAAAAACCAAAACACAATAGGAAAAAAAAATCACAGGACACACATCGAGGCCAAGATTTGAGTTTGCTGTTTCCTCACCACAGGGAAGGGCTATTAGTAAACAGTGAGTAACCCTCTGCTGACTCTTCAGATCAGTTGACTTCCTAGAAGACCTTACTTTGCTAAACAGCTGTGGTTACTACTCTGAGTCCCACGTCAGAACATCTGGACGCTAAAAGCCACCATGTAAGGACTGACATACAGATTTGTGGGTGCAAACACCTCTGACCAATATCAAAGGCTGATGTCAATAACATGCGCTTTCAGGATCCAAATGTGAACAGAAAGGCAGTTCCTTAATTTGATAGCTATTATTTCCATTTTTACGTCAGCCCACATGGAAGCCTTTCTTTGGGATTGGAATGAAAGTCTTCTGTGCGGGCTGATATAAAAATGGAAATAATAGCTATCAAATTAAAGAATTGCTTTTCTTTCTCTCCTTAGAAGAAAAGTTATGACCACCCTAGGCAGCTTTTTAAAAAACGGAGACATTACTTTGCCAACAAAGGTCCGTCTAATCAAAGCTATGATTTTTCCAGTAGTCATATATGGATGTGAGAGTTGGACTATAAAGAAAGCTGAGCACCGAAGATTGATGCTTTTGAACTGTGGTATTGGAGAAGGCTCTTGAGAGTCCCTTGGACTGCAAGGAGATCCAACCAATCCATCCTAAAGGAAATCAGTCCTGAATATTCATTGGAAGGACAGATGCTGAAGCTGAAACTCCAATATTTTCATCACCTGATGCAAAGACCTGACTCATTGGAAAAGCCCCCCATGCCGAGAAAGATTGAAGGCGGGAGGAGAAGGGGACGACAGAGGATGAGATGGTTGGATGGCATCACTGACTCAATGGACATGAGTTTGAGTAAACTCTGGGAGGCCTGGCGAGCTGCAGTCCATGGAGTTGCAAAGAGTCGGACACAACTGAACAACTGAATTGAACACAGAAGCCAGCTCTGCTACAACCTCTATGCAATAAACTCAGACCACAGATGTACAAACTGGTTTCAGACAGTGACTCAATCATTCTAGAACCAAAGATGCACACAAAAAACCCTGAAATACAGTTCATAGTGTATAAACAAAAACAGTCTGTGCAGTGAGACAAACTGAAAAACAATCTACAACCACAGAGGAAGCCAATGATGGTAAGACAATGGGCAGCCATGTAAAGCACAATTGTGAAGATTATTTAGTGATGTAGAGAGAAGCACATATAAGTCTATATATAGTTAAATCTCAGGTTGGCAAAGATTTAACACACAAGCATCTTCAGGCCCAGAGACAATAACCTTCTTTAGGAAGAACTTAACTAAAATACAAATCATGGGTGATGTGTGATCTTCATTTTCCTTTTTTTCCTCTGTATTTTCCAAATTTGTACAATGGAACAAGTACTTATTTATTTAAAGTATTATCCCTGAGTCTCAGCAAATCCCAGAAGTCACTTTTAAACTATAAACAATAAAACAGAGGGCCTGGGGAGCAAAATATGTCATCTGACTTATCACAGAAATGCAAGACAAAATGTATGACTGTTTTGTCAACCTGCAGGATGGTTCCCTCCTCCCCAAAGCCAGGCTCACCTCCCATGGAGACTTCCAGGCCTTAGGAGTGGAATTTGGGAAGGCAGGGTCTACTCTAAGAGAAAAGGTATGGTCTCAGATGGTACTGCCTTTGCACACGGCCAGAATGAAAGAGGCCCCTGGTAGGCAATCTCTCTCTGGACATACACTCACATTCACGGAGCCCCTCTGAATACAAGGAAGGTAGACCACGGGCAACTCCAAATCCTGAGCTCAGCATGCTTGCCAGGCGCTCACTGCCTGATCAGGCCAACCTGTCTTGTCTTGGAATATGTGATAAGCCATGTCATCCTCACTTTAAAGCAGCAGAAGTGAAGGGCCACCCAAACAGGAACTTTGCTGTAACCAGCACACCCACATTTTCCAAGATGATGAAGAGACAAACTGTGCTGCAGCTCCTCCCTAAGCTGGGAGTTATTACCCATCTTTCCGCATTCCCAACTCATGGATTCCTCTGCAGCTACTCCCCACACTGGCTGCTTATTTTCACCATGTCTGTGTTTTCTGGTTCCTGCATGAATAGAGCTGCACTTTAAGCAGTGTCTAAAGGATGCATTAGTAATATTTCTCTGGAAGATGCTGGGCTGAAACAGGTAAGTAGCGAGTGCTTTCCTAGAAAGGTAGCCCAGCACTTCCCACCTGAGGAGCAGGTGACCCCTCGACTTTTCACACAGCAAAACACTGCATGGGCCATCTGTCTTTCAAGTAGGACCAACAAGAACTACCCCCCCCCCCCCACCATGGGCCTGGGAGAGCTAATAAATGGTGCCACAAAGGGCATAATGCTGTATGTTAACATCTGCCCAGAATACTGTCATGGGGAAAACACGACAGCCAGGGGCTCTATGGTCACTAAAGGGTTTGCAACTACAGTGACTTCGTCTGCCCCTTTCACTCCCAGCTCCAGGCCCAGTACATGTTGTGAAGTAAACACTCACCGAATGAGTGCATGCTTGAGTGGATGGATGAATGCATGGATGAATGAGTGAGTGGAATCCTTATTTCCCAAATAACAAAGCTGAAGTCAAGCACTGGGCAGGGGTGGATTTAGCCCTAGAACCCAGGCCTCACCCCACAGCTCTGACTCTCCTGCCTGCACTGCTTTGGGTGTGAGCAGGCTCCTCAGTGTCATCTGAACTTAAAACACAGGGACGGGAAAGGCCACAGAAAACTCAGCAGGAAAGGACTCTGTGCATGTCCTTGGCTGCTGCAGGACCTGAGCAGGAGGAGCAGCCTTCCGCCTCCACGCGCACCAGGCCCTCAAGTCAGAGCAGCAAGTGCACGGCCGGCCCCCAGGGCACACGTGCTCCTGCCTGTGTCCCCTCACCAACAATCTGAACTGGGGCTGTCACACGGCAACCATGCTAGGTTGGCTGGCGATTCCCCCACACCCCGGTGCTCTGTCCTTTCCCAAGCATGAGAAGAGGAGCCTCAAGACTCAAATCAGATCCCCACAGCCAGCTGGGTTTCAGGAAATCAGAATTTTTCGCATTTCACGGGACAGTGTGGTGTCTGGGCCGCATACTGAACACCCCTTTCAAGGACGTCTAGGACAGCAAGCCCTCATCAAAGGCAATGCTCTTTCTGCAGTGGAATGAGTACATAAAGACACTCAGCAGTCAGCGTCCGGAAGCCTGGACTGGGGAACAGCAGGTAAGAGAGTGAGGACCTGTGTTCCCTCTCCCTAGAGGTGGGAACAGGGGGAGCAGGAGGCAGCTCACCGCCCCCCTCAATCCCTGCTCCCAGCAACCCCTCCATCAGCAAAGCTCTACAGCCATCACGCCTGATGATTCTTCCTTTCCTACAGGGAGAACAGAACCATAACCTATTTTTACCTTTAATTCCATGAACTGCATCAATATTCCCTAATAAAGTCTCAGCAATACCAATATTCACAGATGAGAAGCACACTGAAAAGCAAGAAGAAAAACATCAATTTCAGAATAACATGGGTGCTGAATTTAGACCTCACAGGAGAGGTCAAAATTGAGGCCAGGCAGGCAGGCAGCCACCTGGGGGCCCTCCAGGCTCACTTGGTAATCAGCTGTCTCCCTCCACTGTGGGAACTGGGGAGGCAGCCCTCACCCCACCGATGAGGACAGACCGCAGCCTGCGAGGCCCCGGCTCTGTTGTCACAGACGCCGGGATCACTCCCAAGTCCAGCCCAGCAGTGTCTTTTGCCAGAACGTCGCTGGGGCTTGGTGCTGACTTGGTAGACTTTCGATCTTGGGATTCACATTATTTTTCTTACATTTATTTTCCCTTTGCCCCAATTATCCATTAAAGAAGAAAATTGTGTGTGTTTATGCAAGTTACCATGAACCTTGTTTGGAACAAGATGCGGGAGAGAAGACAAAGAAGGAACCAAAGGCATTCTAAACATTGTAAATTTAGCATTTTCAAATATTAATTATTCTAAGAGTTTGGGGAGTGTTCAAAATGCTGAGCAAGTATATAATTTACTGCAGTTATTAGTTTTGCTCTTGGTAAAGTAAAAAATAAGCTCAGTTATGAATTGTCAAGCTCTACGTAGAATAGATACTGCTTTAGTTTAACAACAGAATATTTAGGTATTCAGGAGGGCTGCCATCTATGGGGTCGCACAGAGTCGGACACGACTGAAGCGACTTAGCAGCAGCAGCAGCAGGGAAAACGAATGCATAAACTCCAAAATACTTGGTGTAAGAATTCAAACAGTGGAAGCCAGCCCTGAAATTACTCTATGTGCTGCAAGGAGGATCCCTGCAGGTCTGATTCTATAACGTCATCTCCAGGGAAGACCTCAGGTTATTCCTCATGCCAAATGAGCCCTGCCAGCTGCAGAAGCAACTCAGAGGGAAAACAGACACTGTGGAGGAAATGGAGGCAGCTGCCCAAGGAC